CTTCATATTCCTCCTCGTCATAGCGGTCGTGGCGATCAGAATCGGAATCATCGCCTCCGTCGTTATAGAAAGGCATTGGAGAGAGAGAGGGCCGGGGAGGGACGCAGCAGAGTGAGAATGAGGCCAGCCGATGAACGTGACTTAGTGTGACATCTCGTGCCGCGGTCAAAAAAAGACGCCGGCGCAGCGGTCCGAACCCACGCCCTCTTGAAAGCAGACCCTCCTCCTTTCTTTTTTTTTTTCCGGCAGAAGACATTATATTTGAAAATAGCAATAAACTGATGGTTCGGACTCAGGAAATTAGTGGGAGATCCTCGTTCAATTCGGGGCTGGGTCATTGTGGAATCATGTAAAAGTATTATTTTTCTTCCTGCCTTGCAGGCCATTTTTCTTTGCTTCTATCAAGTTCAGACTCCTCTTGGTTATTTGATGCACAAGCAAAAAAATATCAGGAAACAGAAAGAAGTGAGGTTTGAGTGAAGTGAACCTTGAAGCAAGAATTCAGGATAGACAATTGTGGGGCAGGTTTTCTGAGCACCAGTATAAAATCAGGTTGAGGAAGAGAGGGACAAGACCTGATGGTGCGTGGTGCACATCCACTCAAACTGGCGACTCGGAACTGGTAGCGGGGAATCTCGTTCAATTTGGGGCTGGGTCATGGTGTAATCTTGCAAAAGCATTATTTCTCTTCCTGCCTTGCAGGCCATTTTTCTTTGTTTCTATCAAGTTCAGACTCCTCTTGTTTATATGATGCACAAGCAAAAATTATCAGGAAACAGAAAGAAGTGAGGTTTGAGTGAAGTGAACCTTGAAGCAAGAATTCATGATCAACAATTGTGGGGAAGGTCCTCTGAATGCAAGCACAAATTCAGGTTCAGTAAGAGACAGGAAAGACCTGGTGGTGCGTGGTGCACATCCACTCTGTCTGGACCAGCTGAAAGCACCATATATATGTTGGTGGAAGACCCCTGTTCGATTTGGGGCCAGGTCTTATTGCAATTTCCGCAGAATTTTTGTTTCGAGTTGAGGTCTATCTGCTTGATGATCGATGGTTTTTTTGTTGCTGTGCAGAGCTGGTGTCTACTTCTTTCCTTTGCCATTTATTATTATCATGCAGCCTCTGGTCATTTGATATGCCAAAAAAATGATCAGGACCCAGAAAGAAGTGAGGTTTGAGTGAAGTGAACCATGAAGCAACAATTCATGATAAATACTTTTGGGGCAGGTCCTCTGAACACCTGCATAAGTTCAACTCAAGAATGGAGGGAATTGAACCTGGTGGTGTGTGGTGCACATCCACTTAACTAGCTACTTTGACTTGCAGTAGTGGGAGATCCTCGTTCGATTTGGGGCCAGGCCATACGACGCGAAAGCAATTTTTTCCCTCTGTGTTGCAGAGCTGGTGTCTGCTTCTTTCTTGTCTTTTATCACGCAGCCTTCTCTTAGTTATTTAATGCAAAGAAAAAATGGAAAGAAGTGAGAAGTGAAGTGAACCTTGAAGCAAGAATTCATGATAAATAATCTTGGGGCAGGTCCTCTGCACATCTGCATAAGTTTAGCTCAAGAATGGAGAGAATTAAATCTGGTGGTGCACATCCTCTTAAAATAGAGACTTTGACTTCCAGTAGTGGGAGATCCTCGTTCAATTCGGGGCTGGGTCATTCGCATTCAGGGAGGTTATTTTTCCTTCCTCTGCTGCTGAGCTGGTGTCTGCTTCTTTCTTGTCTTTTATCATGCAGCCTTCTCTTAGTTATTTGATGCAAAGAAAATATGGAAAGAAGTGAGAAGTGAAGTGAACCTTGAAGCAAGAATTCATGATAAATAATCTTGGGGCAGGTCCTCTGCACATCTGCATAAGTTTAGCTCAAGAATGGAGAGAATTAAATCTGGTGGTGCACATCCTCTTAAAATAGAGACTTTGACTTCCAGTAGTGGGAGATCCTCGTTCAATTCGGGGCTGGGTCATTCGCATTCAGGGAGGTTATTTTTCCTTCCTCTGCTGCTGAGCTGGTGTCTGCTTCTTTCTTGTCTTTTATCATGCAGCCTTCTCTTAGTTATTTGATGCAAAGAAAATATGGAAAGAAGTGAGAAGTGAAGTGAACCTTGAAGCAAGAATTCATGATAAATAATCTTGGGGCAGGTCCTCTGCACATCTGCATAAGTTTAGCTCAAGAATGGAGAGAATTAAATCTGGTGGTGCACATCCTCTTAAAATAGAGACTTTGACTTCCAGTAGTGGGAGATCCTCGTTCAATTCGGGGCTGGGTCATTCGCATTCAGGGAGGTTATTTTTCCTTCCTCTGCTGCTGAGCTGGTGTCTGCTTCTTTCTTGTCTTTTATCATGCAGCCTTCTCTTAGTTATTTGATGCAAAGAAAATATGGAAAGAAGTGAGAAGTGAAGTGAACCTTGAAGCAAGAATTCATGATAAATAATCTTGGGGCAGGTCCTCTGCACATCTGCATAAGTTTAGCTCAAGAATGGAGAGAATTAAATCTGGTGGTGCACATCCTCTTAAAATAGAGACTTTGACTTCCAGTAGTGGGAGATCCTCGTTCAATTCGGGGCTGGGTCATTCGCATTCAGGGAGGTTATTTTTCCTTCCTCTGCTGCTGAGCTGGTGTCTGCTTCTTTCTTTGTCTTTATTGCAGCCTGCTCTTAGTTATTTGATGCAAAGCAAAAATGGAAAGAAGTGAGAAATAAGTGAACCATGAAGCAAGAATTCATGATAAATAATCTTGGGGCAGGTCCTCTGCACATCTGCATAAGTTTAGCTCAAGAATGGAGAGAATTAAATCTGGTGGTGCACATCCTCTTAAAATAGAGACTTTGACTTCCAGTAGTGGGAGATCCTCGTTCAATTCGGGGCTGGGTCATTCGCATTCAGGGAGGTTATTTTTCCTTCCTCTGCTGCTGAGCTGGTGTCTGCTTCTTTCTTTGTCTTTATTGCAGCCTGCTCTTAGTTATTTGATGCAAAGCAAAAATGGAAAGAAGTGAGAAATAAGTGAACCATGAAGCAAGAATTCATAATAAATATCTTGAGGCAGGTCCTCTGAACACCGGCATAAGTTCAGCTCAAGAATGGAAGGAATTAAACCTGGTGGTGTGTGGTGCACATCCACTTGACTAGTTACTTTGACTTGCGGTAGTGGGAGATACTTGTTCGATTCGGGGCCAGGTCATAGTACGACGCGAAAGCAACTTTTTTCCTCCGTGTTGCAGAGCTGGTGTCTGCTTCTTTCTTGTCTTTTATCATGCAGCCTTCTCTTAGTTATTTGATGCAAAGAAAAAATGGAAAGAAGTGATAAGTCAATGAAGTGAGCCTTCAAGCAAGAATGCACAATATATAATTGTGGGGCAGATTTTCTGAATACCAGCATAGATTCAGGTTCAGGAAGGGAGAAGAAAGACCTAGTGGTGCGTGGTGCACATACTTGAACTTGCAATTCGAAACATGTTAATAGTGGGAGATCCTCGTTCAATTCGGGGCTGGGTCATAAAGCCGGTGATTGGACATCATTTTCCCCCCCTGTACAGAGCTGGTGTCTACTTCCTTTTGCTTCTTATTATGCAGCCTTCTCTTGTTTATTTGCTACACCAGAAAAAAAATGGAACGAAGTGAGAGGTGAGGTGAACCTTGAAGCAAGAATTCATGATAAACAATTGTGGGGCAGGTCCTCTGAACACCAGTATAGATTCAGGTTCAGGAAGGGAGAAGAAAGACCTAGTGGTGCATGGTGCACATCCACTTGAACTTGCGATTCGAAACATGTTAATAGTGGGAGATCCTCGTTCAATTCGAGGCTGGGTCATGGTTCCGTGCTTTTGAGTTATTTTTATTTCTACACTGCAGGCCGCTTTTCTTGCTTCTATCAAGATACAGCCTTCTCGTGTTTACATTGTTTGAGGCACAAAAAACTGATCAGGACATGAAAAGAAGTGAGAAGTGAAGTGCTTGAAGCAAGAATACATAATAAAATGATTGTGGGGCAGGGTTTCTGAACACCAGTATAAAATCAGGTTCAGGAAGGGTGAGGAAAGACCTAGTGGTGCGTAGTGCACATCCACTTGAACTGGTGGTTTAGAATCATGAATTAGTGGGAGATCCTCGTTCGATTCGGGGCTGGGTCATGTGTCATCGTGCAGGAAGCACTTTTTTTCTTCTTGTTTTGTCTTCTTGTGTTGCAGAGTTGGTGTCTGCCTCCATTTGCTTCTTATCAATATTATTAGTGTTCAGCATGTGCAATAATATTAATATTGCAAGAAGTGAGATGTGAAGGGCCTCGAAGCAAGAATTCATAACATATAATCTCAGGGCAGGTTTTCTGAATGTTAGCATAAATTCAGGTTAGGGAAGGGACAGAAAAGGCCTGGTTGTGCGTGGTGCACATCCACTCTATCTGCCTTTGATACCTTCATGTTGGTGGAAGACTCCTGTTCGATTCGGGGCCAGGTCTTAAGGCAATTTCCTGTGGAATTTTTGTTTCGAGTTGAGGTCTATCTACTTGATGATCGATGATGCTTGGGGCTTTTTTGGAATGTGTTCGACATTTTTACTGCCCCGATTCCTCGCACTTTGTTGAGAAAAACACGTGATCCCTCGGGTCTTATGTTGTAAATTTGAACCTACAGCGACCGGTCTCTCTGTGAATGTTTTCCCACTTCATATTTAGAGAGAATGGTTACCGGTATCCTCGGGGCCAGGTTGTCTGTTACCACTGACAATTTTGTCCTGTGTTGCAGCAATAATTTTTGTTAGAGTTATAATTAAACCACTTTGGAGTATGGGTGATAAGACCTGGTGGTGCATGGTGCACACCCACTGTAACTTGGGGGGGAACTTCGAAGTAGGCACGCATAGTAGGGTTTCCCGTTCGACTTGGGGCCAGGTTGTCGCATGGGATTCGGGAATTGACAATTTTTTTCCTTCATCCCGTGTTGCAGCTATCATTTTTGTAAACTTAGATCCACTTTGGATGCACTTAGAATTATTGGGTGATAAGGCCTGGTGGTGCATGGTGCATACCCACTTGATGTTCATATGCAAACATTTCTGTTAGTGGTAGGTCCCCCGTTCGATTCGGGGTCAGGTCATTCTTGATTCGTCCACTTTTTTTCCCCCTCGCCCTGTGTTTTCGATAATCAATTTTGTGTTTCGCCGCCGCTCTCCAAAAAGTATCTATGATTCGTCTGACTACGGGAGATTATTCGTGAATTTTGCAGTTACCCCACGCGTTTCAGTCGGATCACCTCACATGGCCTAGGTCTGCTGACCAATCCTGTGTTGTGCTTCTTGCACTGGTCCCCTTTAGTGATTTGAGCTCCAAGATTGCTGCTGCGAGTCCCCCACGCTCCTTACCCCACTCTCTGCATGTAACACACCCGACAAAAAAAATACTAATCTAATCCACCATGGGTCCGTCCTGATTTGTGTCTTCCTGGTGAAGAAATTGACTGACTCTGTGTCCAGCCACCAGTTTGTGCGTTATGGATGGAGACAAGGTGGAGACGAAACTGACACGGCCCACAGAACATCCTCCACGGGTCCCGCCTCCTCGGTCCCGTCTTCCCCGTCCTCCTCGAGCCCCCCGCCCCCCACCTCAAGCTCCGCCCCCTCGAGCCCCCCGCCGACGAGCAGCAGCAGCACCACCACCACCACCTCCAGCTCCGTCAGCACGACCGTAACATCCAGCTCCGCCCCGAGCAGCACATCCTCGGCGAGCAGCATACCGGCAACGACGAGCGCTTCGAATGTGGTATCGACCGGGAACAGCGTGAGCCTGCAGCTGTCGACAGGCACGGGTGGCGGCGTCGTCACCCTCACGCACACCGTCCCCATTACGCAGACGGGCGCGCCGACGGCGAGCTCCAGCGCAAATGTCGATGCGGCGACTAAGGGGTGCGTCGTGCGCTTCCTTTCCTTTTTTTCCCCCACTTCGTTGTGTGCTTTTCGTTACGTTGTCTACTTTCCGTTCCTTTGGTTTGAGAGCGTACTACCGTCCGCCCCACCGCCCTACCCCCTCCTCGCATCCCATCCATCTCCCTATCCTTCATCCCCCATCTATTCCATCTGTCACTTTTTTCTGGCATGTGAGCGGAATCACATGTTGTTTTGGGCGGGGCGGGGCGGGGCGGGTACTGCCTCGACCGCGGGGAGGGGAGGCAAGGGGAGGAACGACTGGGCGAAGGGCCAGAGCGGGAGGTGGTGTGGGGCTGCAATCCACCTGCACTTCCCACCGTTCTGCATCTCTTACCCCTCTCCTCTTCGCATCTCGCCTCTCACCGTTCCCAATGCCATCTCTCCGAGCGAGCCAAAACCCAAGAACGGCGGCCTTCCCCTCCTCCGTCACCCGCACTCTCCCCTCCCTCCTCCCTCCCATACCACCCACCTTCCCCCCCTCCCCTCTCCCCCTCATGTTTCACGCATGACATACCCGCCAATACTAACCCCAAACCCCAGATTCTTCCAAAACAAAGCCGCCGTCGGCGCCACCTTCGCCATCGTCGGGCTCGTCGCCGCCGGGATCCTCTTCGCGTTCGTGACGAATGCGTTAAGGAGGAGGCGGGTGCGTCCTCTCTTCTTATGCGTTCTCTCTTTTTCAGCGTTCTCTCGTCTTGTGCGGTCTATCTGGCTGCTTTTATGAGAGAGAGAGAGGGTTTTTTTGGGGAGGGTTTGCGAGGGTTTGCGAGGAGGGCGTTTGGGCCGGTAGCGGGGGCCCTCCTTTCCCTTCCCTTCGCTTTTGTGCCCATCCCCATCCTCGCACCCAAGCGCGCCGTGCCGTCCCGCGGCCCGTGTGTCGGCTTTGGTTTTGGTTTCGGTTTGGCTCTGGTTTTGGTTTGCATGGGCGCCACCCTCCTCCTCCTGTTTTGAGTCGTGGAGTGCGCGGGGTGTTGGTCGGCCACAGTGGTGCGCGTGGCGTGCGCTTCCGACGAGCCACCGTCCGTCTTCGCGACGTCGAGGTCGAGGGCGACGTTCCTGCGACTCGGTTCGATTCGGTTGTGTGGACTTGTGCTTGTGTGCTGCGCCCGTCGCTCGTCGTCGTCTCGCCATCCAGTGGGGTCTGGGCGAGAACAGGATGGGATGGGATGGGGTAGGGGATGAAGTCCCGCCATCTACGCGTCCCCGTGAACTTGTGCGTTGCGTCGGTGCATCGCCGCATCGCCGTGTATCTGGGTTTGGGTTTGGGCTTGGGCTTGGGTGTGGGTGTAGTTTGGCCACCCGTCGCTCGTCTCGTCATCTAGGGGGTCTGGGGTCTGAGAACGAGAACGGGATGGGGTTGAAGTCTTGGCGATGTGCGCCCCGCCCCGCCATCTGCGCGTCCCCGTGCGCCCTCCAGTCGTGGCGTTTTTTTGTGCATCGGTACATCGCCGCATCGCCGTGTATTTGGGTTTGGGTTTGTGTTTTGTGTTTGGGTGTGGTTTGGCGCTGGGCTGGGCGCGCCTGCATTCTGCAGTCTAGAGCGCAGGGATGATGGACCGCCCCGGTGGCGTCGGCGTTGGCGTCGGGAGCGACTTTTAGCGAAGGACGAGGGCGAGGATGTGGATGTGGATGTGGACGGGTGTCGTTCAGACTCACGGTGTTGGGGTATGATCCCTCCGCGGACTGGATTGGATTCGGGTGCTCTGCGTTTGCTATGCACGCTCGCGCCCTCTCGCAATGGACATGTGTTTGGCGCGGCCTGTGTTCTTCTTTGTTTTCTGTCTTTTCCTCCCGCAGTATCCCCTTCGCCCATCGTACTGATTTTTGACTCTGGTCACCCAGGCCAGACGCTTCGACCGCGAAATCGCGGAAGAGGCGAAGCGCGCGCCCGCACCGGTGTTCGTCGACGACGAGGACTACAACAGCAACTACCACTCGGACCCGTACACCGGCGGCGGCGTGCGTCTCTTCTCCTTTCCTCTATCCCGCACCCACTCACTCACTCGTTCACTACAGTACGGCGCGGCCCCGATCGACGGGTTTGGGAACGATTCGTACGGCGCGCACGGGGGCGACCCGTACACGGTCGCAGACGGCGCGGTGGGCGCGGGCTACGCGCCGTCGGCGTCGGACGCGCTGAGCAGCGGCGTGCACAGTAACCCCGGTGGCGGGGGCACGCCGAGCAACTACATGTACCCGTCAGGGTACTCGGACCTCGGGTTCAGCGACGTGAGCAGCCATGGGACGTATGCGCAGCCGCCGATGGAGGGGCAGTACCCACACGCGGGGGGGTACGCGGGGTATGGGGCTGCGGGGATCGGGGCCGCGGGGATGGGCGCGGCGGTGGGCGCGGGGGCGGGGGCGTACGAGATGACGGGGTATCATAATGGGCAGGTCGCGCAGCAGGGGCAGGACTGGCATGGATATGCGTATGGCGGGGAGGACCGGGACGCGGCGGCGGCGGGGTACCCGCCCACGGCGACGACGGCGCACTCGTCGGGCTCGGACGTGCTCGCACGGAGTAAGAGCGGGGCGGCGCGTAGCCTCGTGGACTCGTACAATACGGGCGGGTCTGGGGGCGCGGTGGGCGGGGGCGGGGGTGCTGGAGGGAAGGAGATGCCGCAGTATGCGGACGGGTATGTGTCGCAGTACCAGACGCATGTGGAGGATGGGACGGGGGCGTATGGCGGGCTGGAGAGCATGCATGGGCATGTGGGCGGCATGGAGGAGGATGAGAGCGACCGGGAGGAAGAGGGCGACGGGCGGAGGGTGCTCAAGGTAGGTTTCGCGTCGATTTGGTCGGCGATTGACTGACTGACTGATTTGTCTGCAGGTGGCCAACGAGTAGATTGCTTCGGGCGGACGTGCATTTCTCTGGGTGGTTCTCGGCGCCCGTCGCCGCTGTGTTGTCTGTCTGTCTTTTCTCGTCTGCTGTCCGTCTCTGTGCCATCATCATCACCGACCGAAAACCTACTCTCTACCCCGACGTGTCCCTTCGACTCGTCTCTTCGCCACCCACACCGCACCTCGGGACGGCGCCGTTACCCACCCGCACTCGTTACCCCCACCCGCGCATGCTCGCATCGTCTGCATCTCCCGCCTCCTTACTTATTATGTACCCTCACCGACGAACGCTTGCATTTTGCGCTGTTTATAGTTTTATTATTCCCCTTTCCTCCCTTTCATCCTACCCGACCCCTCCTCCTATGCCCTTCCGTCTACAACTCCGACTCCCTATTCATTTATTTCTTCTTTTCCTTGAGTCCAATCTACTTATGTCTCGTATTTCGTACCGTGTCCCTTGTACGATGTGCGGACTGCCTGCCTGCCTGCCTAACTACCTACCTACTTAGTCCTGGCGCTGCTTATCTGTTCTCTATGTATCTGCGCGCTTTATTTTTCTGTGCTATGCCCTTCCACTCCGCTTGCGGTTGGGAGGTTGCACATCGATGCAAGTGCGTGCGACTCGTCGTAATGAAATGCGGCAGTGGCTCAGAGGACTGAAGCCAGTGCATAAAGGCATCTAGCTATAGAGAGGCTGGGGCGAGTTCGCAATAGGGTTGCGGAAGAAACGTTGGGGGGTACCAGAAAGTCGGTAATTTACCACCCAATTTTTTTGGGGGGTGCAACAAATGTAATTTACCTTGCAATTTACCTTTTGTGGGACCGATCACGTGGTCAGCTGACTGCCAAAAAAAAACCGCGCCAAAATCGCCAAAAAAAAATCGCGCTCGCGGCGCGGGGATACGGACATCGAAAATGGATCATTTAAACAGAATATGCAACATAGACGTGGTAATCACTACTTTCTTTGGCTGCAAACGGACTTGGATAAGTATTTACACTCTGATGTACTTAATTTGGGTAGCATGGGGCGAAGCAGTGTCATCCTCGTCTTGTGGTTTACGGGAAATGACACTTTTGTTTCCATGTTATCGTCTGCTGAAGTGGACATTGTGGTAGTCACGATCAAATATTTCAAGGTGATTGCGGATTTTCGCAGAATTTTTCGGTTCAGTGATCAAGTCACGACGCATCAGTTCTCAACTTTATGCATTGCTCGTGTATTGTGGACCTCTTGGCTCTTGAGTACTGGGATGCGAAGGGGGAGAAAAAACTACAGCTTGGGCATGTGACTACCCAGGAAAAGGTAATATACCAGGCACTTTTGGCC